GCATTTTAAAATTACTCTAGAACACTGTCACAAGTGCTGGGAACTTGAGGGTAAAAGCTTTAGTGGGGTTCTTTTGCTGTGTCTTAGTTTTTTGAGAAAAATTTCACTCTGTAGCCCAAGCTGCCCTTGAACTAGCAATCTTCCTGCTTCAGCTTCCCAAGTGCTGGGATTAAAGGCTAGCTCAGACGGCCTTGACCTCACTATGTACCCCTGGCTAGCCTCAAACTTGCAGCGATGCTCCTGCCTCAGCCTCCCAAGTGCTGGGATTAAAGGTGTGTACCACCACCCCCAGCTGGATTTTTGTTTTGATTTCAAAGTAGAATTATTATTATTTTAAAAGGTAAATATCTGAAATGCCCAGAACTGAGCAGCTGTGGCTGGATCTGAAATCAAGTTTCAAGTCCAGGCTACTCTGACTCTTTTCCCGCCCTTTCTGAATATTGGGGCGCTGAGGGTAGGAGAATCATTCTGGGCACTTGGAGTTTTAAGGAACAGCTGCATGGATTGCAGGATGGAGCAGCCAAGGCCAGAGCAAAGGGTAGGAAGGGGCAGGCGAGGGCTGGGCCAACTGACTCAGACACCAGAGGCTGGGGAGGAGAGGGCAGCGTGAATTTCAGGGCAGCTGTGTGCTGTGGCTACACTCTCCAGAGTGGCCCAGCTAGACAATGGTGTTGCTAGGAGATGGGCTTCAGGGGGCGGCAGACTTCCTGCCCAGACCTCTGCTGGGCTGGGAGGAGGGAGGCAGGTCTGGGCAGGTGGAACAAAGAGGCTGCTGGAGTGCAGGTGCCAGCCAGCCATCTACTGCCACCTCTGGGGCATGGAGTGACAATCCTCTGCCCCCACCCCCACCTTCTGGTACATATCCCACCTTCAGGGCCCAGCCAGCCAGGGAGCCTAAACATGCCCCCTGGCCACACACAAGGCCCCAGTGGCACTGGACAGAGGCTGCTCCTCAGAGAACATACAAGGCCAACAACCCCAGGGAAAGGGTCCTTCAGTCCCACAGGCTTCCCTGGGACCCAGCTACTTCTAGGAACACCAGGCATTGAGCCCCAGCCAAACCCTGAGCAGGTCCCCACCTGCCTCCCCATTCTCCCCTAGATGTGCAGGACGGGGGTACCAGCAGGGAGAGGGTGCCTGGGGTCAGGGCCCCCAGCAGAGCTCAGGGCACACAGCAGTCACTAATAGGGTCCTTTCCTTATTTACAAAGCTCAGAGTTGGCTGAGAGCAATAGCTTGGTGGTGAGAAGGCATCCTTAGCATGCATAAGACCCGGGGTTCCACCCTAAGACCAAATATACACATCTATATGGCAGCACCGCCCGTGTGGCCTGCTCCACCCTCTCATGGACTGCGCTACTGAGAGGGGCACACGGTCCCAAGGAACTGCAACCCGTGTATGGCTGGACGTAGACAAGGTGCGGTGGCAGGAAGGCCTCTCGGAGGACACTGAGCAGATGAGGATGAGACAGGTCAGCCACACACAGGCCGGGAAGCATCTGCTGTACTGTAGCTGGAAAGGAGAGGGGGCGACTCTCCTTAGGTGCCTCCATCTCCTTAGCACACCACAAGATACTTCCCTGGAGTCCCTGGGAAGCAGAAGGCTCAATGTGAAACGGGAAGAGAGACTCCAGCTGCTTAGGGCGGAGCAGGCTGCACCCCACATCCAGAGCCCAGGGCAGGACAACCCTTCCAGGGTCAGCTACTGCTGGTCACTGTACCCAAAGCCAGCACAGCAGGAACTGGGCAGGGGCAGAAAGCACTGCTGAGCCCTGGGGAGGGCAGGTGCTGGCTATCAGGGCAGAAACTCTAATTCAGGAATTCCTCCTTCTCTCTGGCAGGCCTGCTATAGCAGACCTGGGCATCCCTGGCCCATGCCTTGGGCTTCAGAAGGCTTTTCGCTTTTCACCCAACTTCTTTTCATTCATTCATATATATATATATATATATTAGATATATTTGGGGGGGCGGGAAGGTAGCTTAGTGGCACAAGTGTCTGCCTGGCAAGAGCAAGGTCCTGAGTTTGATCCCTGGTACTCCACCACTATCTATCTATCCATCCATCCATCCATCCATCTATCCATCCATCCATCCATCCATCTATCCATCCATCTATATCTCAGACTCATAGTGATCTTCCTGTCTCAGCCTTCCCAGCACTGGGATTACAGGCATGTGCCACCACACTCAGTTTCAGTGGCCAGCATGGCACAGGGCCAGCAAAGCACGCAGTACTGGGGAACGAACCCGGGTCCTCGCACTTTGCCAGACAGGTGCTTAGACCGCTGAGCTATCTCTGGCCCTCACCCAACTTCTCCAGGTAGATTTCTTTAATCTGCAATTTTCAATGCTATTACATTTTTGTCCATCAGGAGTGAAAGAAAAATCTAAACCATATCCCCTATAAAGCGCTGCCCTGGTCTCAGTCTCCCAGTACAGTCTCAGCCACAGACCTCTCTTCTGACTCAGATCAGGCCCCTGCACACGTCCCCCAGTAACCCCCTCATCTCTTGGTATGGTTATTTAGGGGCTGCAGACTTCAGAGGGCAGAAAAGATGAGAACCAGCTTTTTCTTTTTCTGCAGTGCTAGGGATGGAACTCAGAGCCTTTGCACCAAGCTACATCCCCAGTCTTATTTGTTTGTTTAGTATTTATTTATTTTTGAGAAAGGGTCTCCTATGCAGTTCTTGCTGGCCTTGTGCTCACTTTTGTAGCTCCCAGCACAACATCCTAAGTGCTGGGATTACAGGCATGTGCCACCACACTCAGTTTGGGGGTGGACATGACGCGCTGGGAATTCTGGGCTGGGTCAGTTCCAGGGCCAGCGCAGCATGTGGGGCCAGGGATTGAACTCAGGACCACCTCGCCAGGCTGGTGCTTATTCCTCTGAGCTGTCTCTCCAGCCCTGGGTTTTTATTTTTGAAACAAGGTCCTACTAAGTCACAAAAGTGCCTGGGCTAGGCTTGAACTTGTAATCCTCCTGTCTCAGCCTCCTAGAGCACTGGGATTATAGGAGTGTACCACCACATGCTTGGCTAAAAGATCATCTTTTCCTCCCTGCACTGCAGATCCAGTCTGTAGTTAAAGGGCAGGGAAGGAGGGCATGATATTTCTTCTGCACACATAGAACCAAGTCTCACAGGAGGAAGCGTGTCTCTCTTTCCAAAGTCCAGTAGACTCCCTCACAGGACAAAGTCTTCTGATTTAAAACCAGGTGAGAGGCCGGGGAGATGGCTCGGTGGAATAAGCGCTTCCCTGGCGAGCACAAGGGCCTGTCCAATCCCCGGTTCCGACAAAAAATAAAGTAAAACAAAATAAAACTCAGGTGGATGAAAGCTCAGCCCAGCCACAAACCTGTCACAGATGGCTGGGTCAATCTCTGCCCACAGGCTCCTGGTTACCTGGGGTTTCTCTCCACAGACAGGATGCTTGCATGATGCCCACTCTGACCACAGATGCCAGAACTGAGCATTGAGTCCCAGGAGAAAGCTCTGCCTCCAGGAACCTTAAGAAGCATTCTGGGGGCCGCCATGGCAGAGGGCATCTGTGAAGGGAGACTTAGGAACTGACAGATCTGCACTGGAGGGAGGCTCTGAGGTAGGTGAGGAAGCGAGGGATGGTCCAGATCAGTCCCTTAGAGGTTTGGAGGCCCTTCAGCAAGGAAGTGATGAGGGGGCATGTGCCCTGGCCCCAGGCAGAAAGGTGGTACGTGTACCTTCACCCAGCCATCCTGCCTGCGGCCCCGGTCCCAATCCATACCCTGCTCTTACCCTCGTAGCAATCACGGACAGTGCCAAAGTACACGTAGTACTGGTCGTTGGTGAAGAACAGGAGGCTGAGCCAGGAGTCAAAGGCATAGATGGGCACAATGAAGAGGATGCGCACGATGTAGCGCTGCTCGTTGGGGCAGCTGTAGCAGCGCAGGTGCATGTAGATCTGGGGAGAGGTAGCTGTGTGTCATGCCTTTTGCCTTCCACCCAGCCAAGGCCCTCTCTCTCCTGCTCCACAGCCTTACTTCTGGCTCCGCCCCTACTCCTATACCTCCATGCAAAGGGCATGCCCCCAACCCCAGAGTCCTCTATACAATGTGGATGAAAAAAAAAATGCAGTCTCAGTGTTTTGATGTGCATTTCCTGAAGTTGAATTTTTTTTTCACATTTCTGATGTTTCTTGGTCATTGGCTTTTATGTATGTATTATTAACACGGAATAAAAAAAAGCAGTATTAATTTTGTGTTAGGCAGACAGTATGTTCAGTATATCTTATTTTATGGGCAGCAGTGTTAAAAATATCTTATAAGAATATTTCCAAAAACAGATATGCATATAAATTGTGTCTTTCGTACTTTACTGTCACTATGTAATTTAATAAAGAATACTTTAAAAACAAAAACAATGTGGATAAAATATGAGGTATGTTTCCTTCCCATCTGTCCTCCCTGAAAGCCTGGCTCTGGGGGTCTCACAGCAGCAGCACCAGGCTGAGGCCATCTGCCCATGGCCTGCCCTGGCCTGGGCCTTCACTGCTGGTCAAGAAGGCAGGACACACAGAAGCCTCAGTCGTTTACAGTACTTTATGTCTTGTCCTCGCCTGAGGCTGTACCAGCAGCCTCCCCAGGAAGACAAAAATGAAACTCAACTGGGAGAAGGAAGGGGAAGTAAAAGCTCCCTGCCACTACCAAGAGCTGCTACAGCCCCAGCAGCAGGCCCAGGAGACACCGTGTTGGTCCCGCCTCTCATGATACCACTCAGCTCAGTGAGCCCTGGCCAGGGAGGAAAAGAACAAACACTGTCCCCCTACCCTGTGCTGAGCCAAGGCCTTAGACACAGAGGGCTTAAAATGGACAGAAATAGGGCCTTGGCACACACACCTTACCCTCTACTTGCAGCAGCCATCAGCCTTCCTCCCAGGCCACACCGCCCTCCCCCGAGGACCTCAAGTGCAGGAGATGGGAGCCTGGACTTCCTTCCCAGCTCTGCCACCTGCTGACATGTGCCCTGTTCAGCTCCTTCCCTGTTGCTTTCAAGTTCCTCCTCTGCAAAAAGGTCCTAGATCCAGTCCTAGATCAGATACCTGTTCTGGCTGATGGCTTGAGCACAAGTAACAAACATCACTTTGAGAGTGAGGAGGTCAAGTATCCACGATGCCTTCCCCACACTCTTAAGCCCTCGCTGTCAGAGGGAGGAAGCACTGAAGCTGCAGGATGCTGGAACCACAGGCCCAAGCCTGATCTGCTCTCTGCCGAGTAGGGAGGTGAGCCAGACATCAGGTCCACTGGGTGAGGCCTCTGAGAGCCTGAGGTTACAAGCGACTGCACCTGGGCTGGCCTAGCTTATTTCCCTGGATCCTCCTTTATGGCTCTGTGGAGCAGATACCTGGTGGCAGGTGATGAGCAGGGCTGTCCACACGAAGAAGCCAGAGATGGCTTGAGCCGCGGTGGTCATCAGGAACACAGGCTGCTCCATGGCCATGGGGCTGCCCTCGGGGGTCACGGAGACACTGGGTGAAGCTGCGGCGGTGGTGGGCGAGGCTGGATCTGGAGCCAGAGCGGCCCCCTTCACGGTCATGGTGGCTGGTAGCAGGAGGGTCCCTGAGGGGACCCCTTGAAGTAATGGGCAGGAGAGCCTGGAAAGAAGAAATCCCTGGTGAGTATGTGCAGGAAAGAACCCTGCAGGTTTCTGTGTTCACCTTCCAGCTTCTAACCAATGCAGTCCTCTGCCAGCCAGGCCCTACATGGCAGCTGTCTCAGGACTTCTGAGAGCTCAGCAGACCACACCTGGCCTTCTCCACCAAATGCTTGACAGCGCCCAGCTGGAACAGGTGACATACCACGCCAGCCTTGACTGCCCCTTGGACCCTGCCTGCCTCTTGGGTCTTACCTCCTGCAATTCCAGCCACATGGGCTCCTTTGCTGCTCCTTGAACTCACTGCCTTGCTCCTGCCATACTGGCCCCTTCCCTGCCCAGCCACACAGGTTGCTATACACTTCTCGGTCTCCATCTTGACCACCTGCTCAAATGTCATGCATCCCACAGTGTGTGCAGCATGCACAGTGACCCTCTGCTTTCTCTTCCAGGGCACTCAGGTGGTCCATTCCACACACCTATTCATACCCATATTCTCTTGGGCAACACCAACTCCCCAGGCAGAGGCCTGCCCTGCTGACTGCTGATGCAGCACTTGGAACACAGGAGCACACGCGGGCACTCAGTAAATGTGGGCTGGACCCACCCACCTCTGTACATCCACGCAGCACAATCCCTTTACGGCTAAGTCCATCTGCAAAAGCTCTGGCATGGGTCTCCGTCAGTCCTTCAGTCTCTGCAATGGCTGACACCCGTTCCTCACCACCCTGCTGGACCACTGGAGACTTCATGGCTCCTCTCCAATTTGTGCACCTTCAACTTGCGTTTTCTGGTGGTGCTGAAGGTGCTAGGCATCCAAGCGCTGCACCACTGAGCTACAGCGCCGCCCATACTGCTCACCTCTCACTCTCAGGAGTCCCTTCCTGAAACCTGCCCCCATTCTCCACCTTTCTCTCTGCTCATCCTCCAGCCACTTTAAGACAAGACCTGATTTCTGTCGGAACCCCCAGCACTCAGACCACTCATGATGCACAGCCTTTTTACCTATTAATTTTCACCCCTTATGGTAAAAGAAATTAAGGAGCCTCACAGAGAAGTAACAACATAAGGAGCTGAGAAAACTGGCATCAGGGAAAATTCTGATGAGAAAGTGAAGCCGAGTGCAAGGAGGGTGCGGGAAGCACCTGGGCAGAAGGAACGGCTCTCCAGAGAGGGAACTGGGGTCCCCGACAGGGTTTCCTAGTGATGACTTCAGTATTCCAGGAACACAGAACTTCACACTGAAGAGTAATCCTAGCATCTGGGAGGCTGAGGGAGGCGCACTACAAGTTTAAGCCTGCCAGACCCGGTCTCAAACCAAAGGCGGGGCTAGTTCAGTGCGAGCACTCTGGGTTCAAGCACCTGTGCCACAGAATGAACAAATGAATGAATGAACGAAATTAAAAGAGCAAAGTAAACCCAGATATGGCCCACGGAAGAGCTCAGGGGCCCTGGCTGCTCCGAGGTTGGAACCATGTGCCAGAGTAAATCAGGCCCACCTGGAAAGTCCCCCTGGGGTGTGAAAGCCCCAGCCAAAGTCATGCTGAAACTGCCTAGGTGATGGCATAGGAGGGAGGGCCTTTCGGAGCTGATGAGGTCATGAGGTGATGAGGTCAGACAGGATCAGTGCCCTCATGGAAGGTCCGAGATACCCCTCACCCTTCCGTCTACATGGACATAGTGAGAAGACCACTGCCTAGGAACCAGAAGTCAGCCTTCACCTCGACCTTGGACTTCCCTCCAGAACTGGGTGACATTTTGTTTCAGCAGCTGGAAAGGAGGAAGCCAGAAGCGCAGGCTGCTCCCTCCACTGCGGGGCATCAGAACCTATGCCCTGCATCCTTTTCACCGCGGCCACCCGTGGACAGGCAGCCAACATCACCCAGACAAGAGCCGGAAGGCGACTGTACCCAAGCCCAGACTCTGGCAATGACCTGAAAAGCAACCAAAGGACAGCTGACAGCAAAGGAAATGAACAGAGGAGTAGGCCACTGTATCAGAGGTTGGCTGGCACAGAGTCACAGGAGCCTCAGGGTCTCTGCTACTTGACCATGTCTGTTAAGCTCAGATTTGGCCACCTTGGCCTGAATCCCGCTCTCACAGTCCCCTCCCCTGGCTTGCCCACATGCAGCTGGCCTAGTCAGCCCCTGTGGTCCACAGCACCTTGCCCACTGCCACCCACAGTTTCCAGCTCTGTGCCAGCCCCTCCCCAAGTGTCCCCAGTATCCTCTGTCCTACCTGATCCCCACTCTGAGCTGCCACCAGGGGAGCCCTTCACATTTCTATTTTCCTGAGCATACGTGAGCCCTACCACACGGAGCAAGAGATGGAGCTAGATTAAAAACTCAAAAATCGAGAAGATGTCTATATTCAGAAACTCAAAGGTGTCTATATAAAGCCTAGAGGCAAGCTCCGAAAAAAAGACACAGTGACAAAGCTAAGAATAGCTCTTGCAAGCATGGCTGCAAAGTTGAGAACCAGTGCTGGAAATATTTCTTTAAAAAGATTTGGGTTGTAAACCATCATTTTGTCTATTCTCCCAAATTAAGTGAATAAACATGGGGGAGGGTAGAGGAAGTACAAACACTCACTGTTTTCCAAGCACTGTCTGATGCATCGTTTTTTTTTTTCCCTTACAGCAACTTTGAAGTAACATTATCTACATCTTGGAAATGTGGAATTTTATTTTTATATTCCCCAAATAATTCAAGAGTTTTTGTTCTATTTCCTCAAAAATATTTTTTCTTTTCTTTCCTTTTTTTTTGAGACATGGCTTCACTACGCAATCCAGGCTGGCCTTGAACTCATTATGTAGTTCAGGTTGGCCTAAAACTTCTTCCAAGGCCCTCCCGCCTGTCTCCCGGGTGCTGAAGTTCTACACTTCCCTGCAAACATTCAAAGTGGTATCCTGACTTGAGACGTGTGGTCCCAGACCCTAAGAGGCAGGCACAGGCTCCTCCTCAAAGGCTGGAGCTGGTCATGCTCACTGGACCCAAAGCAGCATGCAGAGGCCGCCAATTGTTCTGCCAGTCCCGTCTGCACCCACAGGCCCCCCTGGTAATTGTTCCCACCCCTAAGTTTGCACAAGTGACTTCCCATAAAGCTTCATTTTGCCAGCTAGGGGGTAGAGGTACATGTCTGTAATCCCAGCACTTGGGAGGTGGAAGGTAGAGGACCACCGCAAGTTCAAGGCCAGCCTGGGCTATAAAGAGACCCTGCCTCAAAAAAAGAAAAGAAAAAGGTTTTAAGTGGACTACTGATGTACCTCAGGGTTTCTTTTCTTTTTTTTTTTTTTTTCAGAACTGGGTATTGAACTCAGGTCCTTGCACTTGCCATGCAAGCACTTTATTCTACTGAGCTATCTCTCCAGCCCCGAAGTCAGTAGGAGTCCTGCTTGTATTTTTTTTGGCTGGCCCAGCCTGCCCTGAGGTATGGCCTTGAGCTTGTCATCCTGTGTGGTATGTGGTGCCAGAATCGAACTGCGGTCCCCTGCGCCTAAGTTTTGCCTAAGCAGGCGCTTTAGATCACTGAGCTATCTTGCCGGCCCTTTATTCTTTTTGTGTGTGTGTGTGTGGAACTGGGGATCGAACTCAGGCCCCGTTTATTCTTCTGAGCCATTTCCCCCGCCCCCCTTTATTCTTAACATAGTAACAAGAAAAAACGTTCATATTTTCTTCATCTATAATATGTCAGGGTAATTACACAATTAACAAGGTGAAATTTTGATTTACAGAAGTCCCATTAATAAACTGACAGAATAACAGAATTAAAAGTGACAATTCGTAGCTCCTGACACAAATTGATGTAGACGCAATGACTGAATCAGTACTGGAAGTGAAGAGAAACTCGGTAATCAAGCCTCTCCACTCACAACCTACACCCAGGCCACCAACATGGGTCGGTCCCACATCAGGCCTTCCCAAGGTGCAAGGAAGCGCACTGTCCCACCTCACAAGGACCCATGGCCAAGCGTGAACTGGACTCTGACCACACTTCCAGAATTAAGCGCCAGTACTCAGCAAACACAGGATGGAGGAGCAGAACATGGAGCACGCTGGGTGGTGCACATTCTACAAAGCAATAAATTAACAGCTTAAAACAAAGGTGGAAGCCAGGTGCACTCACACACTCTGGTAATCCCAGCCCTCGGGAGGCTGATGCAGGAGGATGACAAGCTCAAGGCCAATCTAAGCAAATTAACAAGACCCTGTCTCAAAAAACAAAAAAATAAAAAACAACAAAAAAAAAGCTAACTAACAAAAAATGAGGGGCTATTACTAAATGAGAAACGTGAGTGACGTAAGAAAATACAATAGTGGGCTGGAGAGATGGCTCAGTGGTCTAAAGCACCTACTTGGAACAAGCTTGGCAAAGCACAGGGACCGCGGTTCGATCCCCCAGCACCACATGCCAGCCAGCCCCGCCCCCTGGTGGGCTGAGCTGGCCACACACATACACACACATACACACACTAAATAAAAATGTAATAAAGAAATAATTTAAAAAGAAAATACAATAGTGGACTCTGAGTCCCATGCTAATAAACCAACAGTCAAAAGACATTTTTGAGGTAACCAACTTACAGGAAATCTTATCGATTTTGTTAGGTAGAATATGGGCATGGTGGCTATGCAAAACTGAAACTCCTTATCAATAGAGGGCAAATCATCTTTTTGATACAGAGTGCTGACAAGTGAACATTCAGGGGCAAAAAAAAAAAAAGGAAACCCTTACACCATCCACAGCAATTAATTCACAATGGACCATGAATTAAATGTAAAACTCTAAAACTTTTAAAAGATACAGAAAGGCTGGCCAAATAGCTCAGTGGATTAAAGTGCCTGCAAGCAGGCGTAGGCGCAGGGGCAGGGGTTCAACCTCTGGGCCAGGGCGTGCTGAGATGGTAATTGAGACTGGATGTGGTGGTGCACGCCTATAATCCCAGCTCTTGGAGGCTGTAAACAGGCGGATCACTACAAGTCCGATCTAGTAGTGAGACGC